AGGGGTCAGGGAGAGTAGGCCAGTGCCCACTGCCTGGAGGCCCAGGAGCCCCACCCCCCACCCCGGGTGGCTTTGGGAACTCTGGGGAGGGACTGAGGGCGCAGGAGCAGGAGGAGACAAGTGAGTGGGGGCAGGTGGGCCCCAGCAGATGGTGGCAGAGGGCCAGGCATGGAAGTGTACCCGGGCCAGGGCTCTGTGCAGACCCTCCCTCTCGCTCTCCAGAACGTCCCTCTGCAGCCGGGCCGAGTTCAGCGCCTCCTGGGCGGACACCAGCTCCTTCTTGAGCCCTGAGACCTTCTCCTCCAGCTGCTCCAGGCGCCCTTGACTGAGGTACGGAAACCAGAGGGCAGAGAGTGTGAGGTCACTTCAGGGCAAGATGGAGGGGCACAATGGGCGGGGTGATGACCTGCAGCTCCCTCGCAGCCCAGGAGGCCCTGCAGGGCCAGGGGGTTCGTGGGTCCTGCTTCAGGGCTGGGGGTGTGGTGGTGTTCTTGGTCCATACCCTGACACCCAGGGTGAGGAGTGTGTGTGCGTGTGCACGCACGGCTCATGGCACCCATCTCTGCTGGGCCCAGGGTGGTAGATCTGCCCCGGAGGGGTGGGGAGTGCGCCTGGGGCAGGACGTCGGGGCAGGTGTGTGGGTGTGGGGTGATGGCCCAGCCTGGAGGAGTCTGGAGAACACTTTGCCCCTGCCGCCCCATCAGGCACCCCCTCTCCTGTAGATGAGCCTGGGAAAGGGGTGGCCCTGTTGGTGGTGGGGGACACTGAGGCTGAGGGGCGTGATGCGCCCCCCCTCACCCGCCCCAGCCCACCTGGTCTCCAGCTCCCCGCGGCCCCGCCCACCTGGTCTCCGGCTCCCCGCGGCCCCGCCCACCTGGTCTCTAGCTCCCCGCGGCCCCGCCCACCTGGTCTCCAGCTCCCTGCGGCCCCGCTCGCCCTGCTGCACCAGCTCTTCCTTCTGTTCCGCCCACAGCAGGAGGCTCCTGTGCAGCTCCGTGTTCTCGGCTTCTAGCCTCTGCTTCTCTGCGTCTGCACAGGCCGCCTTCCCTCTCATCTCCTCCACCGCCGTTTCCAGAGCCCTTTTCTCTCTGGGAGCAGGGGAGGCAGAGGTTGGGGCAGCCCCAGGACATGGGTCCAGGGAAGGGGAGCCGAGGGACCCTCACTGGGCATAGTCAAGCCTTGGCCGGGTGCCAGGAGCACGGACAGGGCAAGGTGGGCACCTGACCCCGGGGGCCGCTCAGGGCAGCAGCCTGGGGAAGCGAGGTGGGGAGCAAGAGAGACCCAAGCGTCCCCAGCCCCAGCCAGCCTTCCATACTGGGGTGGCCCCGGGTGGGCCTGTCCCCTCCTGGAGGTTGTGCGGGCCTGAAAGCAATCAGGGGTCTTGCTGCCTGGTACGTCCCGTGCTCAGCCCTCAGCCACCACGGTCCAAGCTCAGCTAGTCCTTGCAGAACTCAGCTGGAAGGAAGGGTCCCCTCCTCTGCCTGGTATCTCCCCAAATTCCACATCGGCTTGTCCTGTTCACCTCGCCCTGACGGGGGCCCAGGCCCTTGAGATCTAGCACCTGTGCAAAGCTGTGCTCGCTGGCTGACCCATCCCTGAGCCCTCTCCGCTGCCACCCATCATCCGGGAATCTGAATCTTAGCTGCTCCCCCTCGGGCCCTCGCCCCTGAAGCTTCCATTTCCCGAGTGCCCCTTGGATCCGGCCCCTCCTCCTCCCTACACAGGGGGCCCCACCCTGGCCTGCCCACCTGTCCCCGGATGCTGCAGCTTGGCCGCCAGCAGCCAGACCAGCCCTTCCAAGCCATGGGTTTAGAAGGCCGTGCCCCTGCTAAACGCCCCCAGGGCCCCACGGCCCTCTGCTCCTCGGAGTGATGGCCCACATCAACCTCACCCTGCTCTCGTGGTTTTGCCCTCCCACCTCTGCTCCCATCTGCCCCTGGGAAGGCGTCCACCCTCCAGGGAGCCCTCCACAGCCCCCTGTGGTGCCATGCCCCCACCAGGCCAGCTCCTCTGCTGGTCTTTCCCTGGGCGCCTCTGGAGGAGGGCTGGGGCTCTGTTTTCCTCAGACCTCCTGTCTCAGCACTGAGGGCAGTCAGGCGGAGCAGAGAAGGGGCCTCCCCGGGGAGGTCCCTTCCCCATAAGGCCTGCCCTCAGGCCACAAAGAGGGTCCCATCCCCAGGACAGAAACTGCTCCTGGCAAGGCCACCTCCCTTGGCCTGGCCTTGTCCCCGCACAAGGGCTCAGCCCTCCGGTCACCTTTGCAAGAGCTCGCTGGACGCCCTGCAGCGCTGTGCCTCGCGGCTCTGCGCCTCCAGCTCGCGCAGGAGGTCCTCGGGCTCCCGCACCTGCTCCTGCACCCGCTCCTGTAGGAGCCTCCTTGCGGCCTGCAGCTCCCGCTGGGCCTCCGACAGCTGCTCCCGGAGCCTGGCTGCCGCCGCCTGGGAGGACCCGAGCTGCAGGCGCAGCTCCTGCCCCGAGGAGAGGGTGCGGCATGAATCACTCTGGCCTGCGTAGGCCTTGACCACAGACTCCCCCAGAAAAGATACACTTAAGATGGGGACCCCCTCCCTAGACTGTAGGGCTTGGGGGCAGGCCACGCGGAGACCCTTCCTCTCAAAGACCCCTGGCTCCCGTCTGGGGCACCCGGGTCCCCCTTCCTGTGGCCCCAGGGCGAGCCACCAGCAGGCTCTGTAATGGCACTTCCGGCCTGGGTTTCAAAGCCGCGCCTGGTGGAGACCAGGCCACTGCTTCGCCTCCGGGGCCCCTATGGACTGAGGCCGCCCACCTGCTCCAGCAGCCGCCACCTCTCGATAGCCGCATGCACAGCCTGCAGTGCGGGGTGCAGGGCGTCCAGGGCGCGGGCCCGCGGTGGGGACACCCCGCAGTGGGAGGACGCAGAGCTCCCGGGCCTCCGCACTTGGCCCTGTGCCTCCTGAGCTTCGGGACCGCCGCTGCACGCCCGCTCCGGGCACCCTGCGTCTTCCTGGGCCACCTTCAGGGTTCAGAGAGGAAGGGACGGAGGGGAGAGAGCTCAGGGCTGTGGCCACATGGGGACCTTCCAGATCACGATGTCAGGGCTCAGCTGGGACCATCGGGATCCTATGGTTCATGCTCTGCTTTACCGCGGGAAGGACCAAGATGGGCCAGCACCTCTGTGATGCTCTTCAAGACACGCTGTAGGGCTTCAACTTGGTCCTCCAGAGTGTCCGCTGCCTGCTGGCCTCCGCTGCGCCAGGACTCCTGCGGCCGGAGCAGACTCCTCAGCGGGGCCGGCAGGTGGACCCCCGCCCTGCACCTGCCTCTTCTCAGCCCCACGCACCAGTTTCTGGACATCCATTTTGAGGGAAGAGATGGTTCTCTCCTTCTTCGAGTTTTGTTCTGTGAGCTTCTCCACCAGCAGCGTCTGCTCAGAGAGTCTGGAGAAGAGTCGGGCGTTGGGGGGAGGGGTTGTCAGAGCAGAGAACAAAGCCCAGAGCATACGTGGGCCCCGAAGATGTCCAGGCGGTGTCCAGATCCCTCCTGTGCTGTGGCCGCCTCTGTCTGAGTGGGCCTTGGTCCCTTGTCTGACCAGACGCTTCTCTTCTGCTCTAGAGCCTTCGGTGGCCCCCACTGTCTCTGGAGCCAAGTGCAGAATGAGAGTTCAGCATTCAAGACCCTCACCCTGACCCTGGCTCTGCCCTCCAGCTTCATGGCCAGTGGCTTCCTGAGGCCTTGCCCCGTCCATAGGGGACAACAGATGCAAGCAGCCACTTCTGGGCCCTTGGCCCAGCGGCTTCCTCTGCCTGGATCACATCCAGTGCTGTAAGTCTAACAGCAGGTGACGTTATTGTCCCTTCCTGCCCGGGAGCCACCTTCTTCTCAAAGACCTGGGTCTCCCCTCTGTGGCCCCCAGCTCTCCTTTCCTGTGGCCCTGGGGTCTCCCTTCCTGTGGCCCGTGGCTCTCACTTCCTGTGGCCCCGGGGTCTCCCTGTGGCCCCTGGCTCTCACTTCCTGTGGCCCCGGGGTCTCCCTTCCTGTGACCCGTGGCTCTCACTTCCTGTGGCCCCGGGGTCTCCCTTCCTGTGGCCCCTGGCTCTCACTGCCTTGGCCCCGGGGTCTCCCTTCCTGTAGTCCTGGGGTGTTCCGCTCAGGCCCGGCAGAGCTGCCCCTGCAGGCTGAGCTGGGCCATCTGGCATCCCCAGGCCCTGCAATCATGCTCCTTTGGGGCTAGTTAGGGTTCGTTTCACTCAACTCACCCCCTGAGGGCGGGACAGCTTTCTTCCCCTCAGCCTGGCAGGTGTTTGTGGCCAAGGGAGCCCCAGACCCCTCGGTTCTGTGGAACTGTGCCCTGGGGCCGGTAGGTGAGGCCTCCCCAGGGAGCTGTCCCCCCATTTCCTGCCGAAGCTGCTCTCAAGAGATTTCTGAGCTGCAGACGTGGGTTCTGTGTCCAGAACCTTCTGTGCTTACTCACAGACTCCACCTCCACCTGCCTCAGTTTCTTAAATGGTCTATCTCAAACAGGCGTCCCCCCTTTGCAGGAAGGTGCTCTTAGGCCTGAAAGTTTCCCTTCTGGGAACAGCAGAGACATGCCCGCTGCAGTGTTCACGGAAGCCCTCGGATGTCGGGAGCTGTACCTTGGCCTCGGGGGGGTGGGTTAGGGTCGCGTGAGCCCAGTGACCTGGGGACCGTCCCTGGGCTGCCAGCAGGGTGGGAGAAGCAGGATGCTGGGTGCAGATCAGGAGGCAGAGCTGTGCACGGGCCACAGGCCTGAGTCTCAGAACCGGCAGCCGCCCGGGAGACAGGACAGGGCGGGGCGGCCCTTCCCCCGCCTCCGTTCACCCTCGGGCCCCCAGCACCCACCTGGCCTGGAGCGCCACCTTCTCTGCGTCCCAGCGGCCCTGCAGCTGCAGCGTCTCCCGCACCTGGTCCCGCAGCCGCTGCTCCAGGGCGCCCGCCGCACTGCTGGCCGCCAGCCGCAGCCTGGAGCCCAGGGCCAGGCAGGCCGTTTGCAGGCGCCCGGCTGTCCTGGCCATCTCCACGCGCATGTCGGTGAGAGCCCTGGGAGGCCAGAGCAGCACCCCCTGCTGAGCCTCGGGACCGTCCGGGGGGAGGGCAGGATCCGGTCACATCGGCCCGCCCTCTGCCACGGCAGCCCCCTCCCCGGCCATCCTCAGGAGAAGCCCCCACCACCAGGTGTGCACTGTCCCCTCGTCACAGCCAGGGAGGGCGAGCAGGGGCCAGGCCGGGCCAGACAGGGTGGGCTGTCTGCCTCCATCAGGACGCCGGCCCTCTGACCCTTAGCCTCCCCCTGTGCGAATGGGGGTGCTGTCTTGTACCTCGAGGCTCCCAGGTCAGGCCTGTGTGAGGTGCCGGAGGGATCCCAGGGCCCCTGAAGCTCCCCGCTTTGCGGCGGCCCCCCAGCTGGCCTGCCCCGCTGTCCTCTCTCCCCTGCACCCTTGTCCATCTTGGTCTGTCTGTTCTCGCTTCTCCCCCCGCCACCCGCCCCTCCTGCCTGTTCACCGCACCTGTGGGGCCAGTGCGAGGTCCAGACAGGTCCGGACGCCCCATCTCCCCCACCGCCCGGTGGACCCTATGGCGTTACCTCTCTGCGGTTGTGCGCAGCTCGGCCAGCTGTACGCGGATTGCGGTGACCTGTCTCCACAGGAGGAGGAAGTCCTGGGACCCCCCCGAGCGTGTGCGCCGGATCTGCGAGCAAGAGGCCTGAGTCTGCTCAGGCGTGCGAGGCGAGTGCAGCCTGCAACCCCACCGGCCTCTCCACACCGCCTCTCCCGGATCCTCTGTGGGGAGCACACCCATATCACCTGTGGCTCTGCAGCCCCCTTTCCCAGGGGCTCGTCTTCCCAAAAGGTGCAGATCCCCTGCTCCAGGGGGCAGTGCTCACTCCCCCACCTCGCGGACCTGGGGAGGGGGCCGCATCCAGCTCCTGCCCCGACCTGGGACTCACCCAGCCTGGTCTCCCCGCCGGGGTGGGAGGTACTTGGCGACCCTCAGCGGCCACCCCACTCCCAGCATGAGGGGGGGGCGGGGAGGCCAGGTTTCCCCCCTTCCTCCAGCACCAGGACAGCAGCTGTCACTCTAGGGGGTCCCCAACACGTCCAGGGACACAGAAGCCTCTACCACTCAGAGCGCATGGCGAGGCAGTGGGGAAGCCGCCCGCTAAGACGGGGCAGAGTGAATGGGGAGTAATGGCGGAGCAGGAGGCTACAGCAGGACTGTGGGGCGGCGGGGGAAGAGGGGAGAGTGGAGGCGGGAACGGGACAGAGCCATGTGTGGCCAGTGGCACCAGCCTTTCAGAGAACTGAGCTGAAGCCCCGGCGTCCTGAGTCTCCATGCCACCTTCCCTGTCCCTGGTCCCTGGGCTGCGTCCTGAGTGCTGACTTCCGGGACCCCCAGAGGGCTCACCGCATGCCCAGTGCTTTCCCACACTCCTCTGTCCCCTGCCTGTCACAGCGCAGCCTGGCTGCTTCCTGACACAGAGTGACCTCACCTTTCCCAGCTCTCAAGACCCACACACTCTCCAACCTTCACAGAGCCTCTGCTGCAACCCCTGTCCTGACCCCACATCTGAGGTTCCCCCCCCCACCCAAGCCCTGTATGCCTTCTGTAGGGAAAGCCCCTTCGTGCCCGGGGCCGGGGTCCTCTGTGCACTCGCACTGCACCTCCCAAACCCCATTGTGATCAGCAAAGAGCAGGGATCAGACATGCCTTGCAGTACCGGATGCCTGGACGGGCCTGTCCAATAACAGCGATTAGCTACATCAGATTCCAGGCTTCACAGCTCCCTGAGTGCAGGCTGGGCTGGCCCACGTGGTAGGGAGCACTCGGGCAGGGACCCCTGACCCGCACGCTAGGGAGCACTGAGGCCAGAAACCGGCGAGGTCAGGAACTTGAGAGGAACATCGGCAGCCAGCCTCTTGCCAAACTGAGCAACTTGAACGTGCCTCCTTGACCACAGGGGCTCGGGATGCAGAGGAAAGCGTGGGGCCCGTCCAGGGGTGGAGTCTGCCCACACTCGTGAGTGAGATCTCTCTGGAGGGTGTGCCGGAGCTGACTGAGCGGGACACACAGGTGCACACGTCCGCACTCACACGTGCTCACAGCCCTGCCCACGGGGCACTGTGAGAAGGCACAGGGGACACAGAATGTTTGTGTCCCCTGAAATCCTATGCGGAAACCTAATCCCCGGTGGGACTGTATTTGGAGGTGGGGCTTTCAGGCTCCACCCTCGTGATGGAGTTAGTGCCCTTATAAAAGGGCCCCAGAGCACTCCCTCGCCCCCTCCACCGTGTGTGGTTACGGGGAGAAGGTGCTATCTCCGACCCCGGGAGCATCACACACTGAACAGTCTCCCACCTTGATCGTGGCCTTCCTGCTTCCAGAACCGTGAGAGAGAAACGTTAGCGTAACATAGCACCCCTGTCCAACCCCCGGTCTGTGGTGTTCTGTGACAGCAGCCTGAATGGTAAGACAGCAAGGAGAAAAATCTCCCCTCTGGATTTGGAGCCACACATCAGCCTTTATGCCACCTGAATCCCCATAACCTGGGCGGTTTAAAAAAAACTCAGGTTGAAAATCTGCTTCAATTCTAACAGGTCCAAAGACTGTTAGAGCCCCGGGTACTTGTCAGAAGTGAACGGAAATCCTTTCTGGAAGATGCCACATCCACTCTAGGTTTCGAAGAACTTTCACAAAGTTGCGAGAAAAATAAGCAGCTTTTGGTTTAAGAAAAAAATTTTTTTTTAAATCACTAAAGACACAAGGAAACAGCACTAACCTTAAAGAACTTGGACGTCAGAACATCAGGCACAGCTTGGAACATAACTATTTAATTTGCATCAGCAAGTAAACCGGGAGCTTGACCATGAGTTAAGTGTAAGATATTTGGAAGAGAATCAACCAGAATCCTTAAAGATGAAAAACGGTATTTGGGATTTAAGCAAAGCAGGCAGGTTTAACAGAAATTGGAGGCTGAAGACAAAATTACTGACCAAGTAGGTATATCTGAAGAAATATCTAGAATATAAGCCAGGGTGACACAAAGAAAGCAGACACGAGGTTCAGATGGCTGTGGGCGGAGCCACCAAGTCGGGGAGGAGAGAGCGTGAGCACAGGCAGGGCTCAGAGGGGGAAGCGCTACTTTCCAAAAATAACAGAAGACACAGAACCCTGGTGAATCCGAAGCAGGATCAACAAAAAGCTGCACATAGACACACACACACACTAGTAAAAACTGCAGAACAGCCAAGTCAAAGCGGGATCTTCCAGCAGCCAGGGGAGAGGACAGATCGCCTGTGCGAGGAGTCCAACGGAGTCACAGGCGCCTGGAGCTGAGCGCTGGGCGGCAGCGATGGAGGAGGAGACAGAGACAAAGGGTCTTTAAAGCACTGGGAGAAAACACCCGCTGACCAGCGGGACGTCCTTTCAAGGACGAGGAGGAGGGGGAGGTAAAGACCCTCGACAAACCCGACTTGAGACCCGGCATCCAGGGGCCTTGTTTCCACTCAGGGGTCACAAGCCCGCAGTGAGAGGAGGAGGGGCTGCCTCGAACACGCCCCCTGCCTCACGGCGGGGGCGGGGGGGGGGGGTCCTCCCCTGTGATGTGATGATGGACATGGCCCTCTGGGTGACACACACCCTTGGTTCCGCCTGGGGCGGCCTGCCTGGCGCCCTCCCCTTCTGTGCAGCAGGGGGCACCCCCAGCCTCTGATGGCAACGGCAGCCACAGAGGGCTGGGCACAGGGGCCCCCCACCTGCTCCCCGGTGGGAGGTGCAGTGACGGGGGGGGGGGGGGGGGGGGGGGGGGGGGGGGGGGGGGGGACTTGCGGAGGGATGTCTCCGCAGGGTCGGCCTGAGGCCCAGGCCCACAGGGGCCATCTCGGCCTCCTTTCCCTGGAGGGGGCTGTTTTCCAGGCAGCGTCCGGGAGGAATCCTGCCAGCGGTGCCTGCAGAGGACAGGTGGAAGGCCATGGGGACACCTGCGCCCCTTCAGGGATGGCTGCAGCTACAGAGGCCTGCCTTGCCCCCGGCCATGCCCCTTTCCAGGGCCCGGGCCCGGGTCCGGTGACACATCAGCGCATGAAGGCCTCTTTTCACTCGGTGCTCACCAGCCTATTGTGGGGAGACCTGGCGGGGGGGCACCATCTGTGTCAGGCATCTGCCCGGCCCCCCGCCAGGGGTCTTGCCATTGGTGACCACCGGCTGAGGCTGTGCCTGGAGCACTGTGCCCTGAGCCCCCGGAAGGACTTAGGGATTCAGAAAACTGACAGGGGGGCAAGGTCACGGCAGGGGGCCCTGCTGGCCCTGGCCACGGGCTGGGAGCAATGGTGTGGCCCCCGCCCTTGCAGTCAGGACGCGGCAAGGGGTCGGGCCCACGGAGACCACCTCTCTCAAAAATGGGGCAGGACGTGGCCCTGTGACCTTGTTCTACTCTCCAAGTCTGTTCTTGGGGTCCTGCTCGCCTGTTCTCAAGGAAGGATCTCCTTACCCTAGCGTCCCCCACAAAGTAGACTGCGGGGGCCCAGCCGAAGGCCGAACATGGTGCGGCAGGAGGTCAGCGGCCTTGCCCCCCGGGGGGGGGAAGGGGAACCACAGTGGGAGCCAATTCACCCTGTCCTGGTCCCCACTGCCTACCCCCTACCGCCAGCCAAAGCACCGGATCAGGTGTCCCCTGCCGACGGGCAGGAGCGGGCAAAGCACCTGTGTCTCTGCCCGGCGCCGTGCCTCCCTCAGCTCCAGCTGGCCCCGAAGATGGAGTACGCCGTCCGTCGTCCTGGCCAGCTCCTCGGCCAGCCTGTCGTTGGCCTTCTTCATGTGCCCCAGCTGTTCCCGCAGAAGGGTGTTCACCTGGGAGAGCCCCGTGCTCCTGGACGGGCAGACACCACAGCAGCTCGGCCACGGCCCGGGGCTTCTAGAAAGGCTCCCTGAGACCCAGCCGACCCGCCTCAGGCCCGAAGGCCGCAACCGCTCCTAAGCAGCACTGGCCGCCTGCAACAAGTCCCCGATGGCTCCCCCAGCTGGGGCCAATTTCTGAGTGCCACCCTGGCCCCCTCCTCCTTCTCTGGGATGCCTGCTCTCCCTCCCCCGCAACACGGACTCTCCTGGCCACGTCCACAACCGTACCGCCTCGGCCGTCTCCGTCCCTCGTGCCGAGGGGAGCCCTCAGACGGACTGCTCAGAGGGGCAGCGCTGGTTGCTGAGGGACGGGCCTGGGGGGAAGGGGCAGGGCAATGCAGAGAGGGAGTCAGGCACGCCCCCCCCCCATCCCCTGAAGGCGGCAGCCCCCCTGTTACCGTGGAGGCCTTTCTCCACCGAAAGCAGCCGAGCTGGGTGGAGCCAGTATCCAAGAGCCAGCCCTCCCAGCCAGGCTCCGGGGCCACAGAAAAGACCTTCTCTGTTCCTCTTTGCAACTCAGGCATCACCCTCCTCCTGGGTTATTACCTCCCACCTCCGCCCCCGCCGCTGTTTTTGGAAAACTGGTTTTCCAAATGCTTCCCAGCACTTTCCTTCTTTTTCCAGAGTCCCCGAGGACAAAGCAAGTAACGGGAAGTAGTCCACACGTGTCCTAACCTCCCCCAGGTCTGGAGACGCAGCCGTGCTCGGGGGCTCAGCCCCGCTGGCTGCCGTCCCTGCAGCGTGGAGACATGTTCTCCCTTTCCAGGGACGGTGTCCTGGAGCCTGGGGGTTCGGGGGCCACCTCTGGAGGGCTGAGGTTACCCCTGGGGGTGCCGGGCCATGACCCATGCTTGCCAACAGTGAACGGATGAGCCCCTGACCATGACGTCAGAGTGGCTTGGCACCTAAGGGGCCTGGGAGTCAGGGCCAGAGTGTGAAGAAGGGTGGGGTTGAGGGCAGCACCCCCAGGGACCCCAGGACTGGCTGTGCCAACCACGGGCCACAGTCAGCTCAGGGGACCCGTCAGCAGTACCGGCCAGAGCGGCAGCCTCGGCAGGCCGCGGGGCCGAGAGGAGGCAGACGTGGGGGAGCAGGGCCGGGGGACCCTCAGACCCGGGGGGCCTGCACCCTACGCCCGAGGCCCACGGCAGGCTGGTCCTCTGCCCACCCTGCCCTGTCCACCCCAAGCCTGTGGCCAACTCCCACGGGCAAATTCGACCTGGAGTCACTCTGGGAAGAGACTGGCCAACAGCCCCAAGGCACAGCGGGGTCTGCCGCCTCTGGGGGTGATGGCCGAGTTCCCTGTGGCCCCGGCTGCCGCGTCCACCCAGCTCACCTCTGCTCAGCGGCCTCCAAACGGCCCAGGGCCTCCTCCAGGTCCGCGCTATGCTCCAGCTCCGACCTCCGCAGCCGAGCCTCGGTGGTCTCCAGACGGGCCTGTAGCTGGAGAGGGATCGTGACCCACCTCGCGAGCAGGCAGGGCGGCTGTGGCACCGAGCCCTCCCACAGGTGGCAGAGAGGGCTCCCCTCAGGCCCCAGCGGGGTTGGGGTCCAGGTACGGCTGGGTCTGCTGAAGCTCAGGCCCCCCCACACAGTGGGTACTGTGGGCAGGCGTTCACACCCTGACCACGTGCCCAGGGCCCGTGGCTGGCTGAGGAGGGGGCCTCGGGGCCCGGTTCATAAAGGGCAGGCAGCATGGCTGAATTGCAGAGCAGGCCTGGGGTCGCCCCCCTAAGAGAGAGTGCGTGGGGGGTCCCGCCCCTCCAGCCGTGCCCACCGCCTGTGCTGGAATGTGTTCCCAGTGCCTCCTCCGGCCCGTGGCAGGGACCACGCCCACCCTGAGCGGCCTGGTGGGGAGGGGAGTCCTCTAAGCTGGACCAGGCCTGCCCAGAGTCTGCATCCTTCTTGGCTCCCTGCTGGAGCCTGAGCACACGGGGACCCTAGAGCTCCAAGGGGAACAGGAGGTGCTGGGGGCTGCCCCTAGACGTGCTGACCCGGAGCACACTGGGGGTGTCCGGGGAGGGGCCGTCGGGCCGGGCAGGCAGGCTGGTGGGGGGCCAAGCTACGGGAAGGCCGGGAGAGCCTGGAGGCCACCAGTAGGACGAGGGAGGGCGGGCCGGAGAGCCCAGCGGAGCCAAGAGGCCGGGGCAGGGGCTGTGGGGATGCCAGCTGGGATGGAGATGCCCACCAAGCAGTCTCACCGCCACCCTGACCCCCACCCCACCCCGCCATCTGCTTGGGGGTAACGCGGAGGGGGGCCTGGCCCCTGCTGGCGCCTGCCCAAGGGGAGGCTGAGATGCCCGCGGGAGCCTGACATGTCCGCCGAGCTGCGGGGTCTGGGAGTTCAGTTCTGACTCATGAGGCTTACTAATCTGTCCGCAGGATTTCTGGCTTCTATTCCCACCACTGGTTCCCAACATCTCCCCACCCTGTGCTAGGAAGGCCCCCCACCCCCACGACTGGGCCGAGGCCACAGACCGCCAGGGAGGGCAGGCGAGCTCACTGATGTACTCCTGGCCCTGACGGGGGGCGAGGGGGGCCCTCGTGGTCCTGCCCTGAGGGCCTTGCTAGGGGTGGGGGCAGCTGTGGGAGCAGGTGTTCAGTCCGGGGGCTGCGGATGCTGCCTATTTCTGGTAGCCCCGGGCATCCCGGAGGACACGAGGCCAGCCCAGGGCCCTTGGGCAGTTGGCACCGGTCACTGGTCGTGCTGGAGAAAGGGCGGGACCCTGGTTCAGGTCTCAGCTCCAACACTGGCAGCACGGCCCTGGGCAGCTCTGGCCTGCTCTGAGCCTCAGTTTCCACATCTGGAAAGTGGGGTCATCTATCCCGCCACGTAGGGCAAGGAGGACTCCGAAAACTGCAGGGGTGGGGGCCGAGCCAGACATGCCAGGGGCTCTGAGCACCCCACACGGAGCATCCCTAGCCCAGTCCTGCCTCAGAAGCCGCAGACACCGGAAGGAGGGTCTGGCCTGGCAAGTTGCTTCACCTAGCGGCCACGGTTTCCCCGTCCACACAACAGGGGGCCCTCCCCACCTCCACACCTTATAACCAAATGGTCTCTTGCTGTGGCCGAAGGCATTGTGGATGCCCAGGGGGCCAAGGTGGAGGAACCAGGGGGTCACAGGTGTCCTCTGAGGTCTGTGCCGGCCTCGGCTGTCAGGCAAAGGTAGAGGTGGGGGGGGGGGGTGGCGAGCCAATTCTCTAGAAGCTCTGTCTGAGCGTTGGGGCCAATTCGTCAGCAGACCCCAAAGGTGAGGTGCCGGGGCTGAGGGCTCAGGACTGACCAGGCTGCCCCCACAAATCCCCCAGGTGGCCAGGGCACGAGTCAACGTCCTCAGCCGGGCTGTGAGATCTAGGGGGGACTTTCGGGGGCAGCGGGGCCTGGACGCCCCTCCTATCCTCGCCCTCCCGCCTCCAGCCTGTTGTCCCGTCTGCCGTTTGTGTCCATGGCCGACGAACTGTCCTTCTGTGTCCCGAGACTGTGTCCCACCAGTCTGGCCGCCAGTGCCAACAGGTGACCGCCTCACCACAGGCCAGTCAGCCACCTCCGTCTGCCACGCACTTACCCGCGCACTGGCCGCGTGGTACCTGCCGGCCAGTTCGTCCTGCTCTGCGTCTGCCTGGGCCAGCAGCTCCCCCAGCCTGGACAGCTCCTCCTGCAGACTCTTGTTTTCCTCCTGCACCCCTGCTGACACGGCCGGCGGCTCCTGCAGCCCTGAGCAGGTGCGGCCCCAGGTTCAGCCAGGGGGGCCGGACCGGGGCCCCCCACCTGCTCAGCCACGGCGCACTGTCTCCACGGTGGGGCTGCGGGCCGGCCACCGGGCTCTCACTGCTGGCCTGCCCCCACCTTCCAGCAGGGGTCCCAGTTCTGACCCGGGACACCCCGGTGTGGGGGACGTGGACTTCATGCTCGAGGCCTCCCTCCCTCTCCTGTTGGTGGGCGTGCTACTGACCTCCTACCTTTGACCCCAGTACAGCCCCAAACCAATTAAAGCGAGGGTGTGGGCGAGGCCTGCACAGCGGGTCCCCCCACGCCCTGTGAAGCAGTGAGAACTGCTGATCTGGGGTAACCGGATCTCATCCGAGTAGGAAGTTGCTTTTCTAAGTGGACAGTGGAGTTCCCTTTTCCTTAACATATACCCGGTGAACCACTGGTTCCCTCGGGGGGGCGGGACAGACCCTCACTATGGCGAGGGGTCTTGGGACCCACACATGAGGGAGTCACAAGCACTAGCTGGGGCCAAGTGGCCTGGCCAGTTGGGCGGCCGTGACACGGGGACCCAGCCTGGAGCCAGTTCCTGCGAAGCGCTGGCCCTAGGAGGCCCTCGGGCTGGGTGAGCAGAGGTCGGGGGCGGGGCTGCTCAGCACCTGCGCCTCCCGAGTGTCAGCCTTCAGGATTTTCACTCATCTAATGAAGAACAAATACGGACGAAGCCCAGACTGGCGGTCGCGAATGTGCCACAAACACAAATGCAGCACCGGACAGTCCTTGCGGGCTGGCCGCAAAACACACGGTGGGCGTGGACACACGACCCCCGTGGCTGACCCCGTGGGAGGGTGTGGCTCCGTGCCCCATCGCACTGGAAGATGATGACAGGCCGGGGGGGGGGGCAGCTGAGCGGGGGCTCGGTACGCCGAGCCAGCCTCCAGCTCAGGGCTCTGTGGCTCCCCCGGTGCCCACCCCACCCCCACCGTCACCCCTACCACCTCCCGTCACCTTGGTGTGGGTCGTCCCTCAGGCTGCCAGCTACGATCTCACGGATTCGGGCGGGCACAGGGGTGGGCAAAGCCGGCCAGCCTTCCCCACGCATGGTCAGTGCCCGGTCTTCTCTGCTGGCCATGGGACTCAAGACGGTGTCCTCCAGCCTCTGAAAAACAGCCGTCCAGAGAGACACCGGGGGCTGGCAGTTTCCTGGACAGCCGCCAAATAGCCCCACGCGCCCAGCGGAGTTAGTGGGGGCTACCGCAGAGCTCCCCCAGGGCGGCAGCAAAGTGCCCCGGAGAGGCCTGGGTGAGGCTGTCATCCAGAGCACACGCCCTGGTTTCTCTACCTGTAAGGTGGGAGGGCACCTGCCTGTCCTGCTAGTGCCCTGAGCACCGGTGACCAGGACAGCACCTGGCCTCGGTGGCCACTGTGCGCTGCCCTCTGGCCCTGCTCCCCCTCTGTGAGGGCAGGGCTGGGTGTCCCCAGTGGGCCTCTGCAGGGCGCTGGCAGGCAGGCACCCTTGCTCTGGCCCACGGGACACAACGACCCACCCAGCTGCCCACACAGTCTCCACCTTCACGGCCTGGGTTGCTGGGAGGACTGGTAAGGACCTGAGACCACCCGCCTGCCTCCCTTTAGGGCATGGCCAGCTGCCTGGGGCTTCACCCTGCCCACCGGGAAGGGCGCAGGTGGGCCCTGGGAGAGGGCAGGGTGGGCCGTGGGAGGGTAGTGAGGACGGCCTTCCCCCCTGGCCAGTCCAGAGCCTCTGACTGCCGTGGGAGAGGTCTGAAGGGGCCCGGCAGCGGGCAGGAAATCCCAGGGTCCTGGATGCCCAGAGGCTGGTGTTGGGAGGTCTTGGGCTCTGAGCTGGCACACTGCCTCGGCCCTGGGGATTCGTTGCATCGTGAGGTGGGCAGAGCTGGGGGCGGGCCTGGGGGTGCCCTTCTTGCCATGTCTAATTGTGGCACCGCCCATGGGAGGGATGTTCAGGGGCCTGTGAAACAGCACTTCACTGTGGACATGAGAGGCCTTGATGTGACAAGGTCACCGGATGCTTCCCAGGAGTTCTGGAGACAGATGTCTGCTCCCCACGCTTCTCCAGGGCTGCCAACCCGGTCCTCCTATCACTCCCTGCCCCACTCCCAGGCCTCTCGGACTTGTCACCGTGTGCCCAGACCCATCCTTCCTCCAGCTTCCCAGGACCCCTGCTCCTGGCCCCGTGACTCCCCGGCTCTCCCTCCCAGCCCGGGGTCCTGGTGAATGACCACCAAGCAGCCTCCTTCCGCCTGTCCCCTCCCTCCTCTGAGCTCCCCCCAGCTCTCCCTGAAGACCTTCTCCAGGTTCAGACTTGTCTACGTGGCTCTGAGCCTCAGGGCCCGGCTGGAGGGCTTCCTGGGCGCACCCCTGACCTGCCCAGCCCGCTGCCCTGGTACATTCCCCCCCACAACCCCCACGTTCCTTCTTCCTGAGATCAGAGTCTGGTCTCTTCTGCACACACGACCTCAAATTCTCCCCAGACACGAGGCCTCTTCAATCAGGACCAGGTCGCCAAGAGTCACCCCAAGACCCGGGCTCCGGAGTGACACCTGGTAAGTCCCCGCTCTGATCCCCAACAGCAGCCCAGTCGCGGGGCAGCCACTGAGCAAATGCCAGGGACTGACCTCCATGCCCTCTGGCTGGAGTGAGGGCCCCACTTCTGGTTCACCCGGGGCCCAGCCATTCTTCAGGCTGGAGCCTTACTTCTCAGGGGTGTTTGAATCTGAGTCAGCTGGGGGGTCTTGGGGAGGCCCCCTTACCCACCATTGCCCCCAGATGACCCCCTCCAGTATTGCTCTGGGTGGGAGGTGAGAAGCCTGCCTTGGGGCAGGGGACGATGTGCCTGCTTCCCGTTCGGGGCCAAGCAAGGAAAGGGTGCCAAGACCATCAACGGCCCCTCCTGTCCTCCTGGGAGGAAAGGCGGCCGAAAGGGCTCAGCCGTTGTCTGCCCTGAAGCCTTTATTTGCACGCGGGGAAACTGAGGCTCAGCGGGGTAGCGAGAC